CGAGTAAATATTACCATTTTCTTTCCCTGTAATGCCTTACATTACCACATCACAGCAAAAGAAATGCATTACAATAGTTAATTACTTTTGTACCGCGTTACTCCCAACACTGGTAATGAACAAGTAAAAAACAACAAGTTGTGAAAAACACAAACAAACAACATAAAATCTGCCATACATGAACCCCCTTAGCAGTCAACCTGATCGAGACCGCCCCTCGCCCCACCCCACCCTCCCCCTGACCTTGGGGTGCCGTTAAGTGCACACGCTGATCCAATGTGAACAAGGTAGCAGCAAAATCTAGTCGAGCTGAGATGTGGTTATGGAGCTGAACTAGACACACGTACTTTTGTGAGCTCCTGGCGATGTTTCACTAAGTTCCTGAAAACCGTCCTTTAACTGCTTGAACAGTGATATCTACTGCTTGTAGCGAGTTATTATCAACATTATGCCAGCAAAGGAAGCACAAAATAAGTCTAAAGTACACTCTTCTCCGAGTGAGGAAGAAGACGTCTCAGGTGCCAACAATCAAGCTAACTCTCCGGGTGATGCTAGCCCATGGTCTCTCTTAGACGTGAGTACTGGAATGGCCCAGAATTTGGATGTTATTCAAATACTCGACGGGATCAGAAGTGACTTTTCCACAAAAATCGGTGTGGTCCTGACAGCAATTCAAGACATTAAAAGGGACGTGCAGGACTTCCCGATACGCATGGATGGGGCAGAGAAGCGCATCAGCAATGTGGAGGATAACGTTAATTCAGAGAAAGGCAAGACAGAGGCGCTAGTTAAACAAGTGGCTCTCCTCACGAACAAACTCGAGGAGCTTGAAAACCGTTCTTGCCGATCCAACCTACGACTAGTTAATGTGCCGGAGAAAATAGAAAGAAACGACGCAGTGGCTTTTCTGGAGAAGTGGCTCCCCGAAGCGCTGGGACCAGCGACATTCCCGAGACAACCTCTCATTGAAAGAGCTCACCGGTTGCCGGGCCGGACGCAACCCAATTGACCACCCACACCGAGAGTCCTCATCGTGACTTTTTTAAACTTCCAAGATAGAGTTCGGGTGATGCGAGCGGCTAGTACCAAAGGGAAAGTTATCTGTCGGGGCCAAGAGGTCATGTTCTTCCCGCATGATCTTTCCACAGATCTTCACCGACGAAGGAGGGGTTTTGACCGGGTAAAACAGCAGCTGAGGTCGTTGAACATTCGATACGGATCAATCTACCCGGCAAAGCTTTGTGTGTCAACTGATGAACATACGCATGTCTTTGAGACCCCAGCAGATGCGGAAAAATTCATCAAAGGTTTGCAGAACACAATGATATAATGGATTATCTATGGAAACTGTCGATCCCTTAACTATCTGCCCATAACAACTGTAGTTTGAAATTGTTGGACTTACTGGCCAATATTGCTTATCCTTGCAGTTAAACTTTTTGGGGAGAGTATTTATAGGGGTTCTTTTTTTTTCTTTTCTCGTCATTCTCCTCAGAGGTAATGGGTAATTTATTTACCCCTTATAGATAAATGGCCACGTCCACTCGTTGTTTGGGCTTTCATTTGAGTGTGGAGTGTTGGTTGTTCGCCATATAGTCGGCTCTCTGGGATGAGAGCTATGCTGCAAGAAAGTTTGGAATGATTATTATGTGCATATTTGGTCAAGTAGAATACATATTTTCGCCAAGAGTCGCAATTGTTCAGGTGGTTTGGCTTTGTCTGAGGACATTTATATTTCAGATCACCATTGCATTTTCTTTAACTTGTCAGTTTCTGCGTCCCCACCTCCTGCTCGCCGTACGGTTAGTTCTCGTTTTCTTATTGAGAGCACAGCTAGCTCCTCCTTGAACGGTCACCTTATCGTGGTGGAGGAGTTTGAGCGCCCTAATGATTCTAGGAGCTAGGTTGTCTGGGGCACTTTGTGCCCCTGGTAGGATCTCCCATGGCAAATTGGTCTTAGGTGAAGGGTGAGACAAAGAACGGTTCAGAGGATCTTTCATGGATGTACAATCGAAGAGTCCGAGTACCCGGCTCGGAGGGGTACCAGGGTCCCACATTCTCTCACTACTACAGGGCTGATGCTTTCCTCCTAAATCCCCAAAGTGAAGAGAGTTCACACCCAAACTTCCTTTGCAATAAAAAAAAATAACCGATTTTTACAATTTCCTCTAAACAGGAAATGAAGTGTCTTAATAACTCAACAAACCTGCGTAAGAAAACATCGTAGAAACATAAAATTATATAACAACATGGTCTCATAACAAGCAACTTTCTGTCGGATGCAGACAGGCCCCCACAATGAGGCTTTAAAATTGAGGCCAACCCGGAAGTAAGAAAAAATGCAGTTCCACCCTCATCCACTAGGGGCTGGTGTCAGAAGCGAGCAAATCCTCATTGACTCCCATGTTAAAAATACACATTTCACAGCAAAAATAAACATGTTTACAGCCTGGTTCCAAAACATGTTTTTGGTTTAAATGATCTAGTTTACACTCATGACAACTCTGAGGGGGGTGAATGTTTTTCTCACTCTTCTGTTTGAGTGTATTAAAAGCCTAAAATTCTGTATAATTAATGAGCATCAGACCCACGTGACCACAGAGCTAGCTCCGTGGAAAGGCTTCAGTAGAGCCTCGGTCTGGCCTGGAAACTGCTCCGGGATTTTGAGTCTCTGTGTTTGTGTTTTCTGTTTTGGATATTATTTGTGCAATTGTTGGACAAAATGACTTGCTGTGGCATTAATTGCACTAATAGAGCGTCCAAGGAGTCTCCACTTCATTTTTGTCGATAAGTAAAATTATATTTATGTATTTTAGGTCACTGCCGAGCTGAGCTTAGATTTTAACATGTACTGTTTAACCATGAAATTTAAATGTTATAGGGTAAAACCAGTGCATTTAACATAATGCTGCACTTTAGAAAATGGGTTGAAATATAACATGTTGGTGGAGCTGGGTTCCGACTATCGGCTTGTGGAGCTCTCGGGAGACCGATGTTTTCCACCCGTAATGCCGGCTGTTTCTCCCCACAGCCCGGTCCATCTCTGTCTGATCACGGCTCCTGTTAGCTGCGCGGGCTGACAGCTAGTTCTGGCAAGCCAGAACCACCAAAATACGCCACTTCTCCGCGCATCGCTGTCTGATCGCGGCTCCTGTTTGCTGCGGCGGGCTGACGGCTGGTTCTCCCAGCAGCTCGACGCATCTGTCTGATCGCGGCTTCTGTGCGGCTGCCGGCTTGTGGAGCTTTCGGAGACCTCTGTGTTCCACCCGGTTTTACCCAGCGGGCAGCCCGGCGTATCTCTCACTCAGAAGCTCTGGTGTTGTGCACAGTTAACTCCGGTTGTAGCTAGGTTGCTACCTCCGTTAGCTTAGCTCCCACCTCCGCATTAGCTTTGGGTTAGCTTCAGGTTAGCTTGTAGCTAGTTCGACCGGGTGTCGTCAGTTGATCCCAGCCTTACAGCCCCACCCTCAGCTCCTCCTCTATTCCCTTTTGTGGAATTGTCTGGGCTTGACGGAACCTGTGACACGGTCAAAATGGCGGTGGTGGCCACCTCCCATTTTAGCAGAAAAACTTGTTATTGGAGTCTATGGAAACCCATTGTCCATATATTAATGTTGATGGATGCAGAAGATGCAGAAGATGATGAAGATGATGATGATGATTATGATGATGATGATGGGGATGCAGAAGATGATGATGTAGATGTAGATGATGGGGATGCAGAAGAGGATGATGTAGATGATGATGATGATGACAAAGATGATGAAGATGATTCATAACTTTAGGATCTTTTTTTACCAAACAAATTAAAATATGTTGGATTCAGTCTCATTTAAAAAGGAATATTCAGCTTTTTAAATCTGACTTTCTGTTTTTGGTGAAGTGATGAATTAATATTTTGGTTTCAGTTTTTAAGTTTTTATCTTATGACATTTTAAATGCATTTAAGTCATTTTATTTATTTATTCACACATGTTGAGTCCACAGCGTGGGATTCCTGTTGTTTTAATTGTTGCAGGTTCATTGTAATAATTATAATAAGAAGAATAACAATGATGCTCAGATTTAGTGCTCACGCTCCTGCAGAAGATTCTAAAAGCCAAACTTTAATTTCAGACTGAGCCTGTCAGAAATCAGAGCTCAGAAACTAAACTTTCATGCTGAGTAAAAATATAAACAACAAAAAATAAAATCGCCACGTCAGGATATAAATCTGCGTTCCTAGAGCGCCCTCTGGTGGCTTGTTTAGGAACTAGGTGCTACATGTGGCCTCTTGGTGGTTAAACTTAATTTCTCTTTGATCTAAATCCATCCGCGGCATAAACAGATGACACACCTATAATTTGGGCTCAGACGTGACTATTTATTATGTTTTGAAGATAACTGAGAGGAGTGTTTATAGAGGGATGTGGAGTTTTGTCTTTATAAGGATAAATGATGTAAGTGTGGTCTTCTCTGCCAAAACTGAAAGAATGAGGGCTACACACACACACACACACACACACACACACACACACACACACACACACACACACTAGGACAGAGTAGTAATTTGTGGTTTCATCAGCTTCTATCCCTCGGTTCTGTTTTGGTTCCTGTCCTTGCAGCCAACAGCAACACGGTTCAGCATCCGTTTGAATAAACACTAAAGATGGCGTCTGGGTTCAGTCTGGAAGCTGAGGGCGAAGGCAGGCTGTACGTTTACCATGAATATCACATCTTTTTAAGCTAAACACCGGACTCACTCGGTCTGTTTGGAATTAGATGTGATCCAAATAAATATAATCATGATATTAATCTGAATTTGATCGTCAATAACCCAGGGTGATGCAACCAACCAATCCGAGCAGCAGGGGTTGGACTCCTTTTTGGTTTTGGTTTGTTTAAATTAGAAGAATGTTTCCAAGCTGGAGATGAATCAGGAGGAATGAGAAGACGTAAACAGAGAAGTGGAACTCGGAGCCACCGTCCAACAGACCAGATAGATAAACACACACAAACCTCTTTAAGAAGCTTTTATTCTGAAGCGCCTTCAGCTCGCGCTGCAGCGGACTCAACTCGGTAGAGTTTTCTACAATCTGGAGTTTCCCCCTTTCAGGAACTTTGTCTGATTTCTTATGGAAGTGAGTCTTACCCTGTACTGGGATATAACGTAGGAAATAAACACTTTTTCCCCACTAAGCTCGTCCCCCGTCCCGAAGAGCTCCATATTATGTGGATCGATCGTTGTTGTGCGTTAGCCAATAGCGTTAGACGTCCGCCTACGTACAGACGTCCCTCGTAGGGTGAGTTGGTGACATTTCTTACGAACAAGTAAGTCTTGTCGAGACGCTGCTTCCAGCCATGATCACGGAAGTAAGGAGAGAGGCTTCAGCTGCAACATATTTCTCACCTCTAGATGGCGCCATTTGGGAAAAACGTCTTGATTTCTGCTTTAATTTGTCAAACAATAAACAAGAAATAAGTTGTTAATAAATTAAACATTAAATAAACATTCTGCAGTTGCAGATAATGCTTTGTTTTCTTTGTCTGACCAGTAAAACACACCAAATCATCACTGTGCATCTAAAACCTGCCGACTTCTTCAGAGCATCCTCTGCTGAGGCTGGACGTTGAACAGCAAGTCATCGTTCCCTCGGCGAATCTCGAGGAGAAGAGGCCGGTCGCTCTGCAGCATGTTCTGGATGTCTTCAGTCGTCTGGACTGGCTGTCCGTCCAGCTTCACTATAACATCTCCTGCTTTTATCCCCCCCCTGAAAAACAGGAGCATGGGGTCAAACATCTCCACAGCTACTGGATGGATTTAAGGACCCTGATCAAGATGGCCTCCACAGCTCGCAGAGGAAAGAGAAAACTACAGACGTCACAGATAATGGACAAATGTTTGTTATCAGAGATCAGGTTGATTATCCATAACATGAGATGGTTGTGGATGTGAAGACTGCAGGTGCGAGTGGACCACAGATAGTGTAGTTTGTTTATTTGGGACCATTTTAATTTTCATCAAAGACCAAATAAATAAAATAAAGTTGCACAGCTGCATTATTATTAAGTCCAGAGATTTTCTTTAACACTTTCACTTCCACGACAAGAAAAACACGATTACGTTTTTTCAGCATTCCTTTTAAGGCAGTCAAGGTTATAAAAATAATATATTTATTAATATTATTGCAACAATAAGATCAGAAGATCTTTCATGGGCGTTTTTTTTTTCCCGGAACTGCGCTGCTCTGGGTGGCTGCATGTTGGAGTAGCTCTGTTGACTATATGTAAGTTTTGCCTTTTCTTGGGCATTTTTTCTTCTAGTTTCTCAAGAAAAACTGTATTTTTTGGACATTTTACTTTTCTGTTTCTGGTGCTGTGAAGCTTGAAGGATTTTTACCGCTATTTGTTTTAGCTTTTTTCACTTTTTGAGCATTTGTTATGATGCGTAACCATGGCAACAAGCTGGTTTACAATCGGGAGCAGCTGATTGACATTGGAAAGGCTGAAATAATACCTCAACTGAAGCCACAAATCCCAAATGAGCTAAAACGTAAGAAGCGTGGGTGCAGAGCGGGAGCAAAACGGAGACAGAGAAAGAGGAAATTCAAACCATCTCTTCCATCGATCATAACGGGCAATGTGAGATCACTGGCCAACAAGATGGAGGAACTCCAAGCCCTTTCAAGGACTCAGCCAGAGTTTCGGCAGTTTAGGAGCCGCTGGAGGAGATAATGAAAAGAAGGATTCTCCAGAGAATCAAGAAAATGATGGACAACCCTGAGCATTCTCTTCACAAGACTGTCCGACAACGGAAGAGTGTCTTCAGTCAGAGGCTTCTTCAGTTTGGCTGCAACACTGACCGCTACTGGAGATCCTTCCTGCCAACAGCCATTGTAATATACAACAACTCTTTGATGACTTGATTATTATTATTATTCTGAGCTACTACAGCAATCAATTTCCCTCTGGGATTAATAAAGTATTTTTGAATTGAATTGAATTGAAAAACAAAGAGTCGGAGTACCTGGCCCGGAGGGTTACCAGGGTCCCACCCTGGAGCCAGGCCTGGGGTTGGGGCCCGTTTTACAGTAATCTCTAATGGGAAACGGGCTTCAACACAAACGGTTGTTTTCCGCTTGGTCCTAGAGCTCAACCAGTGTCAATTTAATATAGCGTAATTTCGTTTTTGGATGGTAAAAAGTGCAGGGGTCAAAACTTGACTTTGGAAAAACTGGGGGGTACATGCCCCCCCCCCCCCCCCCCCCCCCCCCCCCCCCCCCAAATTACACCCATGGGCAGGAGAATCTCGTCTCTGCTTTTTGCGGATGATGTGGTCCTCCCAGCTTCATCCAGCTCTGACCTTCAGCTCTTGCTGGGTAGGTTCGCGGCCGAGTGTGAAGCGGCTGGGATGAGGATCAGCACATCCAAATCTGAGACCATGGTTCTCCACCGGAAAAGGGTGGCTTGCCACCTCCGGGTCGGGAGAGAGGTCCTACCTCAAGTGGAGGAGTTTAAGTATCTCGGGGTCTTGTTCACGAGTTAGGGTAGGAGGGATCGGGAGATCGACAGGCGGATTGGTTCGGCGTCTGCAGTGATGCGGACGCTGAGCCGATCTGTCGTGGGGAAGAGGGAGCTGAGCCAGAAAGCCAGGCTCTCGATTTACCGGTCGATCTACGTCCCAATCCTCACCTATGGTGATGAGCTTTGGGTAATGACCGAAAGAACGAGATCGCGGATACAAGCGGCCAAAATTACTTTCCTCCGTAGGGTGGCCGGGCTCAGCCTTAGAGATAGGGTGAGGAGCTCGGACATTCCGGAGGGACTCGGAGTAGAACCGCTGCTCCTCCGGATAGAAAGGAGTCAGTTGAGGTGGTTTGGGCATCTGGTCAGGATGCCTCCTGGATGCCTCCCTGGGGAGGTGTTTCGGGCATGTCCTGCCGGCAGGAGGCCCCCGGGTCGACCCAGGACACGTTGGAGAGGTTACATCTCCAATCTGGTCCGGGAACGCCTTGGGGTCCTGCCGGAGGAGCTGGTGGAGGTGGCTGGGAAGAGGACGGTCTGGAGCTCCCTAGTTGGGATGCTGCCCCCGCGACCCGGACCCGGATAAGCGGAGGAAGACGACGACGATAATAATATTAATAATTACCTTCTCTAGCAGGAATATTTTCTGCTAAATTAATGCTTAAAATAAAGGGCTAAATTATAAATAATGACTAATGAACAACACTTTTACACATAAATCCTAAATATAAATAATGCAATAATAAGTGTAAAATATTCTAATGTGATTTAAATCCATTTGTGTCTATCTGAAGAATATCAGGTTACACACCAACAGTGGCTCATTAATTACATTATTAATACAAAGCTGAGTGGAAAATGAACAGGAAAATGGAAAATTTCTTAAATAATCGTGAAAATTTCCTTCATTTTTAATAAACTGCAGAATCAGAAAATGAAACACTTAGGCAGATATACGTGTGTGTGTGTGTGTGTGTGTGTGTGTGTGTGTGTGTGTGTGTGTGTGTGTGTGTGTGTGTGTGTGTGTGTGTGTGTGTGTGTGTGTGTGTGTGTGTGTGTGTGTGTGTGTGTGTGTTCATACCTCTCTGCCGGAGTGTTGGGTACGACCTGCTGCACCAGAACTCCACCGCTGATGTCAGGAAGGTCCGGGTTCTGATGTTTCAGCTCTGACATCAAACTGAGACACAAAGATCCGCAGATGGTTGTTACATCACAACAATCTAAAGCGTGCATGCATGTGTGTGTGTGCGTGCGCGCGTGCATGTGCGTGTGTGTGTGTGCATGCGTGTGTATACGTGTATGTGTGCGTGCGTGTGTGTGTGTGCGTGTTCGTGCGTGCATGTGCGTATGCGTGTGCGCGCGTGTGTGTGTGCGTGCGTGCCTGTGCGTGTGTGTGTGTGTGTGCGTGCCTGTGCGTGCGCGTGCCTGTACGCGTGTGAGTGCACGTGCGCGAGCATGTGTGGGTGCGTGCGTGTATTTGTGTGTGTGCGTGTTCGTGCGTGCATGTGCGTATGCGTGTGTGCCCGTGTGTGTGCATGCGTGTGTGTGTGCGCGCGTGCCTGTGCGTGCGCGTGCATGTGCGTGCGTGCGTGTGTGTGTGTATTTGTGTGTGTGCGCTGCTCCCTTAACTCACACTTTGGTGACTGTGATCATCCTGACACCTAAAAAGTATTTCTTCACTGGTGACGTCTCTGAAACGAAGGCAGAACCTGATTTCATAAAGACTTTCAGATTTTTAAGGCTTGGCTCTAAACATGTTTCTTTTATGCATTAATGCAGGAGTTCACTCACACAACATATACCAGCTCAGTCTGAAGGATATGTGCAAGTCATCTTGTTTGATGTAACAGTTACCATGGTAACGTAATGTCAAAATTAGAAAATTCACGCCAAAAACACCACAGAGGAAAACAAGGAGGAATTCATCCAATCGTCGCTGAAATGTGTTTGACGGCTCACGGCCTCAAAATGCTTTGACCTGGAAACTTTAAACTTTAAACCGATTGCAAGACTTTAACGTACTGAAGCAGCTTCAGGTTACCTTGAACCATGTTGGTAAAATCACACTTTTATGTAACGTTATTGGGGTTTTCCAGGGGAAGGTGAACATCATGGAGAAGATGGTAGACCTGGTGGGTACTCTGCACCTTTTAGGGGGATTTGTGAGGAAACCGTAAGTCCAACAGAGGCTAAATTCACACTAGATCAAAGAAGACAAGCGCAGCTACATGTGATAACGTATTCATGTGTGTTCCGTAAAAGGTGTGGGAGTAGGAAGACTCGGTTCACTTAGGTATGGCTATCTCCTGACCTTTATCCTATAGGTCACATGACAGGTGTCACAGCGAGCTCTGTCAGAAATTCACAACAAACAGTTTCAAACAAACTGTTCCTACTGCCACAAAAGTACCTACAGACACATAAAACGTCACTTCTTTCAGCCAGTCGGACTTGCGTCTCTGAGACATTTCATCACAAATCACCCAAAAATAACATAAAAGCTCAAATAGACTTCTATTATTAATCAGTCAGATGTTGCTTTTCTTTAAAAATGGAAGAAATAACTCATAATACCTCCACCATGAAATACTGTAGAAACTTTACGTGAGGGACCACTAAACCCTCAGTGAGCTCAATGTTCAACAGCATTTTATAGGTCTTATTGTTTTGGCACAGCAACTGTCTTCTGTCTGTGGCAAGCAAAAACATGTAAGGGCTCTGCAGCAAGTGTGGCAGAAACACTCCCAATTTTTATCAAATGTCTGTCGAAAGTCTGATTGGTGGATCGGTTGGTTGGGTGGGTGGTTAGTAGAGTGGTTGGTTGGTTGGTTGGGTGGGTGGGTGGTTAGTTGGTTGGTTGGTTGGTTGGTTGGTTGGTTGGTTGGTTTGAAAAGTGGTTGGTTGGTTGGTTGGTTGGTTGGCTGGCTGGATGGTTGGATGGTTAGTAGAGTGGGTGGGTGGGTGGTTGGTTAGTCAGTAGCGTGGTTGGTTGGTTGGATAGTAAAGTGGTTGGTTGGGTAGGCGGGTGGTTAGTTGGTTGGTTAGTAGATTGGTTGGCTGGATGGTTGGATGGTTAGTAGAGTGGTTGGTTGGTTGGTTGGTTGGATGGTTAGTAGAGTGGTTGGTTGGGTGAGTGGGTGGTTGGTTGGTTGGTTGGCTGGCTGGTTGGATGGTTAGTAGAGTGGTTGGTTGGGCGGGTGGGTGGTTGGTTGATTAGTAGAGTGGGTGGTTGGTTAGTAAAGTGGTTGTTTGGTTGGGTGGGTGGTTAGTTGGTTGGTTGGCTGGCTGGCTGGTTGGATGGTTAGTAGAGTGGTTGGTTGGGTGGGTGGGTGGTTGGTTGATTAGTAGAGTGGGTGGTTGGTTAGTAAAGTGGTTGGTTGGTCAGGTGGGTGGTTAGTTGGTTGGTTGGTTAGTAGAATGGTTGGTTGGGTGGGTGGGTGGTTAGTAAAGTGGTTGGTTAGTAGTGGGTGGGTGGTTGTTTGGTTAGTAGAGTGGTTGGTTGGGTAGTTAGTTGGTTGTTTGGGTGGTTAGCTGGTTGGTTCAGTGGTTAGTTGGGTGGTTAGTTTGGTGGCTGGTTGGTTGGGTGTTTGTGTGTGTGGGGGTGGTTGGTTGGTTGGTGGGTTGCGTAGTTGGTTGGTTAGTTGGGTAGTTGGTTAGTTGGGTGGGTGGTTAGTTGGTTTGATCAGTTGTTAGTTGGGTGGATAGTTTGTTGGTTGGGTGGTTAGTTGGGTAGTTAGTTGGGTGGTTAGTTTGGTGGTTGGTTGGTTTGGTTGGTTGGTTAGTTGGTTGGTTGGGTATGTGTGTGGGTGGGTGGTTGGTTGGTTGGTGGGTGGGTTTGGTGGTTAGTTGGGTGGCTGGTTGGTTAGTTGGTGGGTTTAGTAGTTGGTTGGTTGGTTGGTTGGTTGGTTGGTTGGTTGGGTAGGTGGTTAGTTGGTTGGTTGGGTAGGTGTTGGGTTTGGTGGTTAGTTGGGTGGTTGGTTGGTGGGTTGATTGGTTAGTTGGTTGGTTGGGTAGGTGGTGGGTTTGGTGGCTAGTTGGGTGGTTGGTTGGTTGGTTATTATCACTTCCAGCACAACCTCTACATCAGCAACTCTCACCTGCATCAGACTGTTGATCTTCCGCATGTGTTCTCTGCAGTTTGGCCTTTTCTGTCACAACAGCAGCAGTCAGGATGGAATCAGAGGTAAATGAAAGGTGAGTTCTCTCTGGAATGTTTTTGTTATAAATGCACCAGTTGGCCTGAGACTCCCACCTTTGCTGTGTTTGTCCTGGGAATCTGCGAGGAAGCGGCTGATCCTGTCTGCAGGAATAGCGAAGGAGATCCCTGCTGTTACCTTCAGAGTGTTGATGCCTATGACCTCACCATCCTGTGAGAAAACACATGTCACACTTTCAAACCTGTCTCACACACACAACATTAAAGTCATTCAAATGGACTAAAATTTGCTCCACTCAGTTTGACATAACCTACCAGGTTAACAAGAGGTCCTCCAGAATTGCCGTACTTGTGGAAAGACACAAACGTTTAGATAAATCCCAAAAGAGCCAAATAAATTCTCTTTAAGCATTGTGTGTAGTTGCATATTAATCAGTGTGTTCACATTGATGATGGCGTCCGTCTGGATGTAGTCCATGTCCGAGTCCCTGATGCCCAGCTCCTTTCCGTCTCTCTGCGTCGTGCTGACGATGCCCGTTGTGACGGTGTTCTGTAGAGCAAACGGGCTGCCGATGGCAACCACAAACTCCCCTGGTCTCAGATCAGCTGAGCGACCCAAAGACAGAACATGAAGCTTCTTCTGCTCCCACCAGGAAAAAGAGACAAACAGAGAAGGAAACGTGGACATGTTGGACAAACTGGGCTGAGAAGACAGAAAATAATGGATGAACGAAGGAAGCGGAGGAGGAGGAAGAGTCTGAGTATTTTAGATGTGGGTGTGAGAATACACACATCAGTGCTGCAGCTGACTCAGAGTGAGTTTAGGAAAGTGTTTCTGTAAGGCTGGGAAAACTCAGCTCCTGCTCTGGTGTTCCCAACCTGTGAACTGATCTTGATGGTGGCAATGTCCGCCTTCTTGTCCACATCTCTGACCACGGCTTCGTATGCATCGCCGTCGTGGAGCTGAACCCGCAGCTGCAGCCTCCCGGTAACCGTGCCGGCCGTGGTGACCACATGAGCGTTGGTCACAATCACACCTGTGTGCGTCACAATGAAACCAGAGCCGCTGGAGACGCGCACGTGGCGACCAAACAGAGGATGTCTGGAGAGCAAAAACCAGAAAATAAAAGAAGTTAAAAAAGGCTGGGGGTGGGGTGGGACCAACACACACTCACACATTCCTCACCTCACAAACAGCTCAATGTGGACGACAGCAGGCGCGATTTTCTCCACAACATCAGCGATAAAGTTGAACTTGTATCGAGGGCTGCTGAGACGGACCAGGGAGTGACCTACAAGAACAACTCAAGGTAGTAACGCAAGAAAATAAACAAGAGAAGCTTTAAAACACACATCTGTGTGTCATTTACAACCTCGTCTCAACAAAGATGGAAATGAGACAATCGTCTAGCTTGAAGGAACACACGGAAACGTTTCATCTTACAGCCAAAGGAGAACATCTCCAAAGACTTGGAACAACATGAAATGTGGTTCAAATGAAAGGAAAGAAATTCGAAATGAGCTTGAGTGGCTTTCAGAAAGTCAAACCCAAAGACAAGCTGAGGTGGACATAAATGATCAGATCTGCAGAAACATCAGGAGAAATGTAAAATGGTTGAGGAAGTTTCTGGCATCTCAACATTAAATAAGAATTAACCCTTTGATGCATAATGGTCAGTGGTCACTACAGTGGACAGGTACTCAAATTTGTTATTTGTTTTTGCTATTAAGCACAGCTGTTGAAGACTTTATTGCATTTGAGCCCCTCAATTTGGACTTCATTAAGTCAAGCCAACATATTTCATGCTCAGAATGCACGCTGTCCACTGAGGTGGACATGTAATAAATTATTTGTAAATTATAAAATTTTACAAACATATTTGTTGAAATTTGTTTCATTCACACCTAAAGACGAATGAAAAAAGTTGTTTAAAAAATCATGATTTAAGATTTCATAATTCATGCATGAAAGGGTTAAAACAGATAAAACAACCGTTTAATGGGTTTTATGGTAGCGTTAGATGAGCAAAAATAGGATTTTTTTCCTGTAAAAGTTCAATAATTAAATTCAACAAAAATCTGTTCAAAGAGAAAAAATAAAGTTGGGAGTTAGTGAACGAGTTCCCACTTCACTTTTTGTTTAGGATAGACTGAGCCCAGTTCTCGGCTTTCTGGATGACCCATGCGTCCTACCTGCGCCTGGAGGTGCGCACGGTCCTTTGTGCGCTTGGCTCACCGCGGCTCTCCCTCTGCCCACAGCTTTCCGACTGGCCGCTTTCATCTTACACACGTTACCGTACGTTTTCCCGTCGCTCCCGCACACCTCGTGGTCCAGCTTGCACCGGCAGGCCCGCTTGGAGCCCCGCAGCCTCCCCGCGGGGCGCAGCTTGCACACCAGGCCGTCGGCGCACGGCAGGTCATTTTTGCGGCCGCACGGGTCCCCCTCGCGCGGCGCGCACACCAGGCAGCAGTTGCATCTGTCCGGTACGTAGCCGCCGGGGCAGCTCGGGCTCGGGCACGAGCTCACGTCGCACCTGGAGGCGCATTTGTCGTAGCGCGCGGCTTGGGTCAGGCTGTGCGTAAAGAGGAGAAACACAGCAGCGCGCAAGAACACAAACATGTTCGGTCTCATGAAGTCATGTCAGATCTTTAGTGAAGGAGACAGGTCATGTCTCTGAGCTCCTCGGGGTGTTTACGCTGCCGCGGCTTCTCCTGTTTCAGGTTTGACGCAAACTACCGAGGAAACGGGCCGGAGTTACTCCCTCTAGTGGAAAGAAAAACACAAAACAGCCATCATTTCACACCGTGACGCGGGTCAGCAGGTTGTGCTGCTGCGCTCCACTGAGCTCAAACCTTCAGATCCCAAACTGAACAAATCTATTTCCGACCCGGAAAGCCAGAAGCACCAGACCAGGGTTCATTTAAAAACCCAAACATGGCCGCCAGAGCGTCCTGCTGCAGCTGCAAGTTGAGAGTATCTGGAAATGTTTTACTGAAGATCCAGAAAAGGGTCCAATCAATTAAATTAAATTAAATTAAATTAAATGTGGGCCTACGTGGAAAACAGTTTTTCATCTTTACAATATTAAAAATAATCCCTTCTTCAGGCGAGATGTTGAATTAAAATGTGTAAAAAGCTAAAACTGGTGATTAAACCGTTTTTATTTTTTAAGCGGATGATTTGGCATCAAGTTGATTCAAAAAACAAAACAGTTTTTATTCATTCTGAGGGAAAAATACAATATTTGTTTTCATTTTGAGGCTTTTTATAAATCGGAGTAAATGAAAAATAAAAAGGATTCCAGACCATAAAATCTGAAATCATCAGTTTCTGTCAAAAGGTTAATATATACCTGCTGAATGGCCTCAGTTTGGAGAAACAGCTATAACCAGATTGATTAAACTGTGGAACTCCTCAGATTATAGCTGTGACCTAATCTCTAAAATGTCATAGTGGTTGTAAACCTTCAACAATTTTAAATTCACTTGCAGTAAAAACAGAAAATCTGAAGCATTTCTAAGCCAGAATTTCACCACAATGTGAAAATAGTGCAGCGTCAAGCTTTAAAAGTTGTTTTCTGGGGGAAAAAAAGCTCCAGCGTGCCTGTTCCAGCACTGAGAATCCAGCCAGAGGACAAGTATTCAGGCCCAATCTCAACTCGCACTGCGCCCTGCGGACTTCAGCTAAGTGCACTTGGAGAAAGTGCACAGAAGGGTTCGAGTGCGTAGTACACAAGTGTGCAAAAATTTGCAGAATTGAGACAGGGAGCGTTGCGTCATCGATCGCAACGCATGCCGGGATGCTGGTCGCTGTGAAACTTTTCAAAAACCTTTATTAACAACTTTGAAATAAATTTTACTTTATTGCCGTTTTGTCTAAAAACATTCAGAGCATCAACTTATCGTCCTAAAATTAACTAATTTTATTAGAAAATACAGATTTTTCAGAAAAGGAACTTGAGCCGTTCCTCCTGCAGCAATGACTTGTGGGTAATACTCTTGCCTGAGGTCCGCGTCGCTGCGGACTTGGGTGAAGTGCAGATTAAGGGTGCAATGGGGGCGTGGCCAACTTCCGCACTTGAGAATCGGGACACGCTACGCACTCGCACCCCTGGCCGGGAACGCCAGGCGTGCGAGTATTGGGATTGGGCCTCAGACGACATTGTAATGGTGTGAAAATTAATTTAAGATGCTTAAATTAATTACCAAAGTTTATTAAACAGAAGATTCAGTAAGATTCTTTTCATTCGATAAACTGGAAATGCAACCCTTTTCTGTGATTCGTTTCAATAATGAGGCAAGTTTAAAAATGAAGAAATTTATTTACTAACAATTTTAAACAGAAAATTTGAAGCGACAATCATAAAATGACAATTCATAAATGGCAATTTTGATGACAATCCTTAACAGCTTTGATATTACTTGTTTAAAAGCAAACCTGTGTTGGATGGAGCTAAAATTGAGAATGATGAGTTTTGAATGCGTGAATGCAGTTCTCAGGTTTAGTTCAGAGGGAATGGAAGGTGTTCTGGATGAAATATTTTGCAGATAACTGAGTTACTTTTAGAGAAAACAGCATCAAACGTCATCTGTCGTGTTCTACCTCACCCAAAACAGGACCCCCTTTGTGGATCCGGACGTCAGGAGGATGGGATCATCCAAGGTGGCACTTGGGCTGGAAGAGTAGACGCAAGTGTCCGATCGTCCGGTCCAGAGATGTGCTGGGTACACGGCTGTACGAAGCGTTTGGCAGATGCACGTTCTCGTATTTAAATTAACTTCAGACATCAATGACTCTGGGAGAGTCTTCGTTAGTTTCGTTGTTCTTTAGCCATTCTTGTCGGCAGAGAGGATCAAGGAGACGGCCGTACTCCTTTCCTCGTGGTGTTGGTTGAAGAACTGGACGTGAAATCTGTAATGGTTAGTTTTCACCAAACTCTCTCAGAACACTCCCCCTCTCTCCGGAAGAAAGCTTGGTCATGCGTCAAAAAAACATGTGATGCAGTTATTGTCATCTGAACTCTGTTAGCTGAACAGGGTGAAGGTCTTCTTTGCTGAACACATCTTTAATCATTATAATAATTATCATTATAATACCCAAAGCATAATAATCCATTTCATGTAATTAAAATATCTTTATATCTGAACCAAGTGATCATGTATTAATGATTATTTAAGCAGTAATAAAATCATGAGTTTATTAATTATCATCGTGGCTTGAAGTGTCCTTCTGACGGAACAGCAGATACTGGTGTTATGATCTTGGCAGACATGGTGGCTCCTTGAGCTTTAATCTGTGGATTCAAAGTACTGCTTGACCCAGCTTGACCCAGCTGGGCAAATGTGACCTTTGGCACAAATCAGAGAACCTTCATCACGCTACAACAGGATCTGGAGTCTTACTTCCTGATATGTGGATGTCTCTCCTCCGATTGGCTAACAGCAACACGGCTCTACCGCTGACTCTGTTAGCTCTGCAACGTTGATGTTTTATCTCCACAAATAACACAAGCCTGGAGTTCTGCTGCGTGGTGGAGTTGCTAATGCTAACGGTTAGATCTGTCAGGATTTTCTAATCCTAGAGTTTTATCTATTTTCTATCATCAGCTAATGCAGGAGATCGGTGTAGGAGACTATTTTCATGTTCCGCCTGCATGAAAGCCAATCCTTCAAAAAGTAAGTTAAAAATGTTTTTTAAAGAGCAAGTCAACCCCAAATGAACTCGTTTTTCTGATAAACTACATAAATGTGTGTCTAATCGTGCTGCAGACACGTGTCGTCAGTAGCTTTGCACTTTAGTGCATTTTAGTTAAAATTTTCATTTTCTGCCTAAAACTGTCAGTGTTGTGCCGTTGTCGGGTAAAAACTCTGCACTGCATTTGAATTTAAATCTGCCATCGCTATAGAACGTTAGCTGGTACCATATGATGCCACAATGTCGTTGTGAGCCTGTGTGTGTATTTGTTTGCGGCTCCGACCTCTCGGTCTGCTAGGCAACAGCATTTGTTGCATTTTTCAAACAGGAAGTGGAGTAATACTCTGGTAGGGGGTTAGCCTGGCAAGCCAGACTAAATAAATGTATTATTTAGTCTGGCCATGCTCCATTGACGGCTCTCGGTTGTGGGGCGGATTCTACCGTTGTCTTTCAAATGATCTCCGCATGCTACTGGACAATGAATGTGACATACTCTTGTTTCACTCTGTTGCATCATCCCACCCACCAGGCATATAGAGTGCCCTGATTGGCCCACAAAGCGGATAAAGCTCTGTGATTTGTTCACTAAGCAGATAGAGCACTATGACTGGCCCACCATTATGGACCAATCACAGCTCTTTATGTGTTTGAAACCCCTCTAGAGAGCTGTGATTGGCTAGCCAGAGTCCTGGTAGGAGCTGCTGAGGTTCCAATGGAGCATGCCTAGACCATTCTTTGCAAAGCAAGAATTTGGTCAAGTTCACTAGGCTAGTAGGGGGTGACTAGCTCTTTAAAGTCTTTAAAGAGCAAGTCACTCCAAATCAACATTTTTTTGGCTGATAAACTATAAAAATGAGTGTGATTGTGCTGTAGACAAATGTAGTCAATAACTCGGCACTTTAGTGCATCTTAGTTAAAATTTAAATATTCTGCCTAAAACTGTCAGCGACGCACCGTCGTCAGGCAAAAACTCAGCACTGCATTAGAATTTAAATCTTCCGTCGCTATTGGCTAAGAGGTACACTATGATGTTAGATGGTACATAATGATGTCACAATGTCATGAGTGTGTGTATTTGTTAGTGGCTCCGCCCTCTCGGTCTGCTAAGCAACAGCATTTGTTGCATATTTCAAACAAGAAGTGGGAGTTGAGTAAGAATCTGGCAGGGGATGACTTGCTCTTTAAATGCATTTGTTGTTTTGATCAGCTGTTCTTTTGCACCAAGTACATTTTCATTTTGCACAGATTTGCTTTAAACCGTTTGAAGACGTTAGGTTTAGTTTGTTTTTTCCTCCTGATCTGATCAGGAAGCCGATTCTGCCGAAGTTCACGCTTCCTCTGAGAAGATGCAACGTCCAGCCCAGTAAAAAGAAAGACTCAAATTTCTCAAATTTTATTATTTTTATGTGTTAAATATACAACTTCTGTTACACAATCATTGAACGGGAATAAAAATGTCAAGATCCTTATATAAGAAAACAACGGCGTCGGGCAAAGAGCGAATTATCATCACAAGTTGAGTTTTTTCCTCTCCGTGGAATGTTTGATATAAAAGGAGGAGTTTGTGTGCCAGACGGTTCAAGAGAAGGCTGCCAGCATTTAAATACATCAAACAACAAATACATTCACCGTTATAGAAGTCCGTTTCCGACAGCGTTCCCTCGTTGAAATGTTCCGGAGCAGGGACTCGTGTAAAAACCGTAAACAGGATTACATTCAAGCAGCGCGAGATTCCCAAGCATCGTGCTCCCCATTCAAGTTTCAGCGAAGTCCTTTTCCTTCAGCGACCTCGTTTGGCAGTACTGACACTAGAAGACACTGTTGTGTGGAACAAAAACACTTCCAGGTGTGCACGTGCACACGGAGAGGTCCGGGAGGATTCCCACAAGGCAACGAGAGCCCTTGTGGGGTTTTATCCCGGATCCCGGCGGATATCGAACAGCTCCCTTTAGAAATGCTGCATGCCTGGTCGTCAGTGCTGCTGCTTTAGCGATAAACCGCTAAAGGAGCTCGCATGAAACTTCAGCGGGAACTCTGAGGATAAAGAAACTAAACCCAGCTGTGAGGAACAGCTGATTAATAAATTAAGTCACCATGGTAACCAGAAACAGCCCAAGCGCCTTACTACGTGGAGCCTGCGGTACGCTAGCTTCTGCAGCTTCCACTTTCCTCACAAAACCACTTCATTTCCCTTAATTTTACTCCTATTTGACGTCGTCCTCCTCGTTGCCCTGCAGACAGCTGTGCATCATTTTCGCTGTGATGTTTTATCTTCCCTTGCATGCTAAAGGACTGCCTCTTGCAACAAACAGACAAAAACAAGCTTTCCGGACGCTTGGCGTTCCTCCCTCCGGCCCAATCAGACTACCAGGAAGTGAAGAAGGGCCTCTTGCAGTGGAAGGTCTGCGTGAACGCGTTCCCCAGTGTGACCACTCGCCCCTGGCCGCCCGACCGGCTGCGCTCCACCACCACCCGCGGCATCTGGACCAGCTGGATGGGACTCTTCCCGTCCTTCAGCGCCTGAGTCAGGTTCAGCACCTGGAAACGGGTCAGGGGGCTGAAGAGACTCGCTTCTGCGACACTTTCCAAACATTTGATGTAAAAATAAACAGAAAGCAACCGCAGAGATTTGAACACCTGCACGCACAAACTCACCTGTCCTCTCATTACAGACATCTGTCTCTCAAACATGGTTTTGTCAAAACCTTTATCCGTCTGAGGACAGAAACAAACAACAGGTGTCAGCCGCTCTGGAATAAACCCGGACGCTCTGAGCAGCGGTGCAGATTTGTACCTTGAACATTTCGTGGAGGTCCTCGCAGAGGTCCTGGACGAAGTTCATGTCGGAGAGACGGGACAGCACCAGCTCCCTGGTCTCCTCGGAGAACGGCACCTTAGCCTGAGGGAGCCACGCCCAGTGGAAGGGGTCTGATGGAGGAAGGCGCGCGCACACACACATACACACACAATTCAATTCAAGTTTATTTATATAGCGCCAAATCACGACAAGAGTCGTCTCAAGGCACTTCACATAATAAAAATTCCAATTCAGGTCAGTTCATTAAGCCAATCAGAAATAATGTTTCCTATATAAGGAACCCAGCAAACTGCATCAAGTCACTGACTAGTGTCAGTGACTATACAGCAATTCTCATACTAAGCAAGCATGCAGGGACAGTGGAGAGGAAAACTCCCTTTTAACAGGAAGAAACCTCCAGAGAATCCTGGCTCAGTATAAGCAGCCATCCTCCACGACTCACTGGGGATCGAGAAGACAGAGCAGACACACACACACACACACACACACACACACACACACACACACACACACACACACACACACACACACACACACACACACACACACACACACACACACACACACGTAATGTGTCAATAGTTATATTGTGATGTCTTAGTAAATCTTCTATTTGGTGAAAGATAAACTTTATTGTATTTATCCACACACACACACACACACACACACACACACACACACACACACACACACACACACACACACACACACACACACACACACACACACACACACACACACACACACACACACACACTTTGTTTTTATTCTTACTCGACAACACTGGTGGCAGCTTGGCGTTGCGTTACCATGGTAACCCAACACAGTTTTCTTTAGAAGCATCACAGCTGTGTTGGTGTAATAAATGGTGCAACATTTTCCAAATGAAAGCACCTTCCTGCTCCTGTAATCATGCCAAGGTAATAAAAAGGCTGATAACTCCCTCGCTCAGCTGTAGCAACCAAACAATCGATAAGCAGCTCAAACTTAGTGGGCGTCAGTTATGTTAGTAAACGACTTCTTATTTACAGTAACTAGGTTTACTAAACATAAAGACCTGGATGGTTAAAGAACCGCGTTTCTGTTCCTACTCCATTAAATAAGACTCATCCAGAGATAAACTGGAAATAAAGAATGGGCACAACTCACGAGCGTGTCAGAACAACAGACTTAAAACCCACTTACTGAGTTTATTCTTGGAGAAACGGCAGTTTCATTCAGATTTTATTACATTTTTAATCAAAGAAAAGCCCTTAAAATTTATTCAGCTTATTTTCAGAATAAATGACCAACTTTTCCGTAATAATGTTTGTATTTCCTCTCAGGATTTTAAAAATAAACACCGTCTCACTGGAAGTAGCGTTGGAAGGAAAGGCTAACAAAGCCACAGAGAGTCACATGTGGCCCTGGAGCCGCAGCTGCAGCTGCAGGCCCTTAGCTAAGCTAAGCTACGCTAACCAACCGCCCTGCTAAGGCTGAAGAGTGTGTCTGACCTTTGTTAACCTTTGTAGTGTCAATAAAGACAATATTTAATCCACTTAGATTCAGGAGAAAGAAATGTTAACGTACAGGCTCTCCACTCATCAGGGTGTTTGAAGGGGAAGGCCAGGCCGTTGTCGATGGCTGCGATCTTTATGCACGAGTCGGAACTGTTTTCGGACCACTCGGCCGCCTGCAGGGGGAATAAAATAAATAAATAAATAAAAACTTGAAACTGAGGAATTCCTGAATGAAAACAAAAACATGAAAAAAAACTGAATCTGAAACTCAGTTCTCCCTTTTAAAGGTTGTGCTCTGAACGCATCGTTGCCAAGCAGCAAAAGAGAAAAAAACTGGCGTTTGATGTTGCACCATGAGTTCGCCATTGCTAACGGATAATTCATGCTAGCAATAACAGATGTTTTCACTCCAACAATCTACATTTTCAAGTAATCCAAAATTATAATCTGTTCATTGTGGTTCTTTGAGAAAAACGTGTAATCTGCAAATCAGAGCTGTACAGAAATCGGCATTGGCCTGAAAACCTGAATCGGTGCATCTCAAGAACAAAGCAAACGCCACTCATTTGTCCGCGTGTGACTAAATAAATCCAGCTGTCATAGGCAATCCTCGTGGATTTGTATGGTGGAACATTTTTAACTCACCTTCTGCCTTTCGTCTCCTTCCCCTGGCTTCTCATACTTGATCAACCAGTTGTCATTTCCTCGATCTGAGGAGGACGAGGCAGAGATGACGCCGCGGCAAAAACATGAAAATAACTTGACACGGAAACTGTCTAAACCCTTGTGAGGATCACAGCAGAGCGGTGTGGAAACTCACCCGTGTTTCTGATCACGTAATCCAACACGACCAACCGCTCAAACTGGGACTGCAGCTGCTTCCTGATGTTCTCTGGCAGAGGTTCGGCCTCAAAGCACCGCAGCCAGTGGTCGGCCTCGCGGTAACCCTCCACAAACAGCTGAAACGAGCCCACCTGGAAACAAACGGGATGCATCGTGTTCACACAGAGCACCAAACAGACCCAAACGCACTACAATCCCAAAGGAGCTATCCTGAAGCGAGGCCAGCTGCGTGTAACTGTTCTTGTTAAAGAGCAACAGGAGAACCCGGCTGAGAACCAGCCAGCTGCTCAACGGGGTTCCTGAATAAAAGCTAAGCGGATCCGAGTACAGCTGGCAGAAACGAAAAACAGGAGCTCTAGACTTATCTTTGAGTGAATCTGTTTAAAAGAGCAACACAAGTGAAGCTTTGTGAAATATTTACTTTAGCGTCCTCCTCAGGCCGCAGCGGAGCCTGATCCGAGCCCTGGGCTCGCGACACTCGTGCCGCATCGCACAAATACGACCGCGAGTGAATGTGGAGGAAAATCAACGTATTTTATACGAAACTTGGTGTTCAAGCTTTGGCCCGACACAAATACACGCTTCACATCTCCAAACAAATCTAAACACCAGACAAAGATAACCTGAGAAAAAATAACTCGGGTTTCTCCAAACCAGCCTGGTCCTGCGTGGAAAAGAGTCGAAACCCGTGACCCACACTGAAGGGTTGACCTGCGTGAATGACCGGGGGAGAGGTGAGCTGCAGCTGTGTCCCTGGTTTAACCCCCCCCAATCCAACCCTTTAACTCATTCACTGCCATTGACGACTAAAGTCGCCATTTGCATTTTTTTACTGTGTGGGCGTCGGACGAGCCCCCGCACCGTGAGGACAAACATCTCAGCTCTAAAGACGATCTTCATCTGCATACATCACGTGATCAGGAAGCAGAACGTCCATGTGTTAGATCGTTTTGGGACGCTTCTGTAAAAAAAGTGAGGCACGAACCGGAATTCAACAACGGATTATGAAAGAACAGATAACGCTCGAAACGCGCGGATTCTTCCTGATGTAAGAGGTGACTCTGCGCTTTGTTTTGGTTGTTTTGGCGTCGACATCATCCTAGCGCGCAACGTTCTGTGACTCTTAAAAAAAAAACTGTAAAAATGGTGAGAAACGCTGGCAGCGAATGAGTTAAAATCTTTGGTATGACCCAACCGGGATTTGAACCCCGACCTCCCAGGGCGGACACTCCACCTACCCGACATATCGGTCTTTAATTAATATCATTAAAAGTTTTATTCTGTCAAACTACAATGTAATTTAATTCCTTCAGGGTGAAAGCAGCTGTGTTATGTAAATGGCGGTGCTTAAAGACCACGCGGCTCTGCAGGAAACCAACAAGCGGCGTAACCAACGACGTGGGGGCGTTTTGAAACGGTAATTTGGTCAAGAAATGCAGCTTTCCCCCATTCCGTTCTGCTTTAACAGTAACTTTTATAAATGCTGGTTGTTTTCCAAGTTGTGGCGCTTAAGCAGGACACCACAGACCTCTCCGCACTTCTTTAGCCTCGCCCATGTGCTTAGGGACATCTGCGTTTCTAGAAAGGTCACGTGGGGGGGCTGAAAGGCTGTCCCAGCCCGGCCCAGGCCGAGCTAATGGTTAGCTTTTACTAGCCAAGACGTGCTCTGCTCTCTCCTGGATGCTAAACCAACAAGAGCCTTCGCCGTCGTGAGCCAAAATGGTTGAGTTTGTGAATAAAAATTTTAATGTGGCGTAGAATTGACAAGTTTTCTAATCCGAGCGTTTCCCCGTCAGTGGCTAATGCAGGAAACATGGTTCCACATTTAGCGTGCAACTCCAGTGACCAATCCCGTTTACAAAATAACGAGTAAAAGACGCTTTCTCAGTGAACTTGCTCTTTAATACTAAAGGTTTTGGTTTGGCAACTGGAACCAAAGTCAGCCGCCCAAGTAATCTGGTTAATCCCAGTTCCAGTATTAGCCAGATGGAGCACCTGCTGTTTCACACTGTAAGTTTAGCTGGTTTCCTCTAAAATGTGAAACCCTCCTGAACTCACTCACTTATCTCAGATTAAACGTTGCTTGCTGATCCGAGACCTTTAGGCGTGACTAAAAAGCAAAAATAAAATACGACCGTAGCTACGAGTGTTTCCTAGGAAACAGAGTCATCAACACACAAGTGAAAGAGTTAAACCCCCTAATATTTAACAACTGGGTGTGAGGCAGGTGGTGTTACCTTCGGAGGCAGGCCCACTCTGTGGAAACGCCGCCCCACCTTTGGGACTTTCTCTAAGGCATACTTCTTCCCTCTGGACTTTGCTCTGTCGATAGCGTTGTAGTGGAATGTCTCACTTGCCAAATACACCACCTGATAAAAAATAAATCATTTAACAGCCGTGGAGTTGTTGATCACCGTTACTCTATATCTACAAGGAGGAAAAAAATGCATGCATGATAGGAACCTTGGTTTTCGGCACCACTCCGAGGCCCAGCTTAGTATCGACCAGTGATGCTGCCGCCTCCGAGAGGTAACCCTGATTGGGCAACAAGCAACCTCGGCCAAAGCAACACGGACAGCACAGCTAAGGAGAAAATAAGGACATCAGCAGCTTAGCAGGTGTTAGCGTTCCTTCCTATCTGTCAGCACTTGTGCTGAAGGTCTGATGACGTTCCTGTAACATCAGCAACCACTGAGTCGTGAACGTTTTGTTGTTGGAACACAAAAATCTGACTCGGCGAGTTTAATAAAAGTTAAAGCACCTTTAAAAGCATTCTAGGGTTTCTATTAACCCTCCCACTGTCTTCATGGGTGACCCCGCGAGGACAGCTGACCATTGAGCAGGATTGATGGCACCAAGGGATTGAGGACCTCAAGGGATAAACCATCAATCCTGTTCAATGGTCAACTTTCCTCGCGGGGTAACACCCATTAGGACAGTGGGAGGGTTAAAAAGCTAATTACATTTGATCTATTTGCTCTTGAAGATGAGATTAGGGTTATAAACTGGTGTACCTTGTGAAAGTATTTGGTCCATTTTGGGTTTAAGTGACCGTAGGGTTCTTCTGACTTTGGTTTGAAAACACCGATGATTTTCTGTGGAGAGAAAACAGAAACACAGTCGGACAAGAAGGAGTGTAGGTTTTCTTGTGTTTGAAAGGAGGAGTCTCGGAGCTCACCCCTTTTGGGTCTTTGACAAAGTAGCTCCCGCTGGATCCCTGGGAAATCCTTTCTGGAAAAACGCCACACTCGATGGCCTGTTCCGCCCTTTGGATAAAGTCTGCAAACTCGGGATCTTCGGGAAAATGGTTGAAGTCGCCACCGTGTGCACCTGGAAATACGATCACCAACAGTGCTTTTTTTCTTAGACAAAATAACGTTTTAGTTTCACAACCCTAACCCTTTTTGTCGATCTTTAAAGTGACAGTGCGTAAGACCTTACCAACGGATGCCCTTTAGGGTCAAAAATCCCTGAGAGCACAACCTCCAGCAAAACAACCAGACTCCCTTTCACCTAGGGCTGGGCGATATGGCCTAAAATCAATATCACGACATATTGAGGATTTCACCTCGATAACGATAAATGAACGATAACTACAGGTATGCAGAAACAAACGTTGTCCACTAGGTGGGGCTGTCACATGTACTGTGTTGAGTCACATTTTTAAGTGACTCAAGAGGGTACAGCTTCTTAAAGGGACATGAACGTTGCCAACTTACACACATCTTTACATTTTTTTATTTTCAAATTTATTGACACGGGAAATTTTTTCTCGATAAGAGTCAGAAATTTCCATGACGATACATTTTTGATTTATTGCCCAGCCCTACTTTCACCACTGGCAACAAGCAAGTGAAGTAAATGTGTAAAAACTTTTATGAAAGATTAATGTTTTGCAACCAATTGTTACAAATCAGTAAATGCATTTTGTCCTCAGGGGCTTCCGTAGAAGGAAACACAGAGTCCAATATGGCATCACCCGGAGACGTAAACTCGCTCCCGTGTATTTTAGACCCAATTTTATAGTTACACAGGGTTTCCCCCAGCGCTTTATAAGCCTGGCGGCCCGCGCTGCGGGACGGAGCATGCACCCCCCCACACACACACACACCCCACCCCCGAAGCCACCAGGCTTAACTCATTTTCTGGGGGAAACCCTGGTTATATGTTAGCATGTAAGCAACAACTGGGCATCATTTCATTTTGAGGGATGTTTCCAGAGATCAACAGAAAAAACTACACATTGTCTCTTTAATGTTTCCTGGTGCTTTTAAGTGAGATTTGATGATATCAGAACGTTGTTTTTGTTTGAGGTAGGGATGCACCGATACCGATACTGGTATCAGGATCGGGCGACACAGATACCAGTATCGGTAAAAGTTAACCGATATCAGTGCAGTTGCCTGAAAGTGGCTTCCCTTTAACTTATCATTTTGGTTCACCTAATATTTTAGTTTAGTGATAATTTATTTTAATACATTTTATTTTTTATCTACTTCACTGTCTTTTTCTGTGTAGAAGACAAAAATCTGCATTCCAATTCATTGCATTTTTTGTGTGGTAGAAGTATCGGTATCGGCGAGTAATCAGATCCAAGTATCTGTATCGTCTCGTCTCGTCTCGTCTCGTCTTCCTCCGCTTATCCGGGTCCGGGTCGCGGGGGCAGCATCCCAACTAGGGAGCTCTAGGCCGTCCTCTCCCCGGCCTTGTCCACCAGCTCCTCCGGCAGGACCCCAAGGCGTTCCCGGACCAGATTGGAGATGTAACCTCTCCAACGTGTCCTGGGTCGACCCGGGGGCCTTCTGCCGGCCGGACATGCCCGAAACAACTCCACGGGGAGGCGTCCAGGAGGCATCCTGACCAGATGCCCAAACCACCACAACTGGCTCCTTTCGATCCGGAGGAGCAGCGGTTCTACTCCGAGTCCCTCCCGAATGTCCGAGCTCCTCACCCTATCTCTAAGGCTGAGCCCGGCCACCCTACGGAGGAAACTCATTTCGGCCGCTTGTATCCGCGATCTCGTTCTTTCGGTCATTACCCAAAGCTCATGACCATAGGTGAGGATTGGGACGTAGATCGACCGGTAAATCGAGAGCCTGGCTTTCTGGCTCAGCTCCATCTTCCACCACGACAGATCGGCTCAGCGTCCGCATCACTGCAGACGCCGAACCAATCCGCCTGTCGATCTCCCGATCCCTCCTACCCTCACTCGTGAACAAGACCCCGAGATACTTAAACTCCTCCACTTGAGGTAGGACCTCTCCCCCGACCCGGAGGTGGCAAGCCACCCTTTTCCGGTCGAGAACCATGGTCTCAGATTTGGAGGTGCTGATCCTCATCCCAGCCGCTTCACATTCGGCCGCGAACCTACCCAGCAAGAGCTGAAGGTCAGAGCTGGATGAAGCTAGGAGGACCACATCATCCGCAAAAAGCAGAGACGAGATTCTCCTGCCACCAAACTCGACACACTCCACACCACGGCTGCGTCTAGAAATTCTGTCCATAAAAGTGATGAACAGAACCGGTGACAAAGGGCAGCCCTGGCGGAGTCCAACCCTCACTGGGAACAGGTCCGACTTACTACCGGCTATGCGGACCAAACTCACGCTCCTCTGGTAAAGGGACTGAATGGCCCTTAACAGAAAGCCACCCACCCCATACTCCTGGAGTGTCCCCCACAGGGTGCCCCTGGGGACACGGTCATAAGCCTTCTCCAAATCCACAAAACACATGTGGATTGGTTGGGCAAACTCCCATGCCCCCTCCATCACCCTTGCAAGGGTATAGAGCTGGTCCACAGTTCCACGGCCAGGACGAAAACCACATTGCTCCTACTCTATCTGAGATTCAACTATCGATCGGACCCTCCTCTCCAGTACCTTGGAGTAGACCTTTCCAGGGAGGCTGAGGAGTGTGATCCCCCTATAGTTGGAACACACCCTCAGGTCACCCTTCTTAAAGATGGGGACCACCACCCCGGTCTGCCACTCCCTAGGAACTGCCCCCGATGACCACGCAATGTTGTAGAGACGTGTCAACCATGACAGCCCTACAACATCCATAGCCTTGAGATACCCAGGACGAACCTCATCCGCCCCCGGGGCTCCGCCGCTGTGTAGTTGTTTGACTACCTCAGCAACTTCTGCCCCCGAGATCGGACAGTCCATCCCCAGGCCTCCCAGCTCTGGTTCCTCCTCGGAATGCGCATTGGTGGGATTGAGGAGCTCCTCAAAGTATTCCTTCCACCGTCCGACTATAGCCTCAGTTGACGTCAGCAGCTCCCCATCCCCACTGTAAACAGTGTGAGCGAGTTGCTGCCTTCCTCTCCTGAGGCGCCGGACAGTTTGCCAGAACCTCTTTGGAGCCGATCGATAGTCTTTCTCCATGGCCTCACCAAACTCCTCCCACGCCCGAGATTTTGCCTCGGCAACTGCCACTGCTGCACCCCGCTTGGCTATCCGGTACCTGTCTGCTGCCTCCGGAGACCCACAGACCAGCCACGCCCTGTAGGCCTCCTTCTTCAGCCTGACGGCTCCCCGAACCTCTGGTGTCCACCAGCGGGTACGGGGGTTGCCACCACGACTGGCACCGGCCACCTTACGGCCACAGCTAGCAACAGCCGCCTCGACAATCGCAGAGTGGAACAAGGCCCACTCGGACTCAATGTCCCCCACTGCTCTCGGGACGTGGTCAAAGCTCTGCCGGAGGTGGGAGTTGAAGACCGTCTTGACAGGTTCTTCTGCCAGGCGTTCCCAGCAGACCCTCACTATGCGTTTGGGTCTGCCAGGTCTACGCGGCATGTTCCCTTGCCATCTGATCCAACTCACCACCAGGTGGTGATCAGTTGACAGCTCCGCCCCTCTCTTCACTCGGGTGTCCAAAACATACGGCCGCAGGTCAGATGATACGACTACAAAATCTATCATCGACCTGTGACCTAGGCTGCCCTGGTACCAAGTGTACCGGTGGGCATCCTTATGTTCGAACATGGTGTTCGTTATGGCCAAACTGCGGCTTGCACAGAAGTCCAATAACAAAACACCGCTCGAGTTCAGATTAGGTGGGCCGTTCCTCCCAATCACACCCCTCCAGGTCAAGCTGTCATTGCCCACGTGAGCATTGAAGTCCCCCAGCAGGACAATGGAGTCCCCTGATGGAGCACTATCTAGCACTCGTCCCAGGGACTCCAAAAAGGGTGGGTACTCTGAACTGATATTTGGCCCATAAGCACAAACAACAGTCAGGACCCGTTCCCCGACCCGAAGGCGCAAGGAAGCTACCCTCTTGTCCCCCGGGGTAAACCCCAACACACAGGCAGAGAGTCTCGGAGCTAACAAAAAGCCAACCCCAGCCCTCCGCCTCTCACCCGGAGCAACTCCAGCAAAGTAGAGTGTCCAACCCCTCTCCAGGTCTCGGGTTCCAGAGCCAATGCAATGTGTCGAGGTGAGTCCGACTATATCTAGCCGGTACCGCTCAACCTCTGCCACAAGCTCCGGCTCCTTCCCCGCCAGCGAGGTCTGTATCGTATCGGTTTGAAAAAAAGTAGTGATGCACCGATATGAAATTTTTGGGCCGATACTGATATTAAGATCACTGTTATGGCCGACAACCGATATTTGCCGATACCGATACACTGACATTAATGCTTCTAATAGCAGACTTTGTATAGAATTAAATCATTAAAGCTGAATTTACGTTATGTACACACAACACACACATTTATGGTTCTGAGATGATTTCATTCACTGTTCACATGACTTAACAATTACACATCACCCACCCCCACCCTCTGAAACAGGCAAACAAATAGAGACGAGATGGAAAAAATAGCGTTTGTTAAAATCGGCACAGTTTTATTTATCGAACAGATACCAATATGTTAAAAAAATGACGAACATCGGCCGATACCGATATTGATGCAGATATATTGTCCATCCCTAGAAAAAACTGGTATCTGTGCATCCCTAGTTTTAGGCAGCCGAACCCGATGGGTTGAGTTTTATCACAAAATCCAACCCCTCCTAAGAGAAATCTTTTTTTAAATTAACTTCCTGGACTAGTTGAAGCATCAGTCAACAAAAAAATTACACACGAGAACAGAGAGGGTAACCCCTCACCTGTTGCTTCAGGTAAGACGCCGATCAAAAGCTTAAAAATCAAGGTCAAAGTAAAAGTAGAGCCCTTTTAATCATCAATTATAGTTTCCTTTTGCAGTAAATGGGCTCATTCATCAGATCTGTAATAACTCAGGATGTGACTCTGCTGATGCCAGCTGCTAATTATTCCTCTGATAAAACTTCTCACGACGCGTTGCAACGTCTCCGCCTGGC